ACACACACACACACACACACACACACACACACACACACACACGGCATGCATTAGAGGAGAATTCAGACGGCACATGCAAGATCACACACTCAGAGAAAATCAGACTGGAGAGGTTAACGATATAGTGACCAATGAGAGAGAGAAAGACACAGAAAGAGAGAGAGAGAGACAGAGATGCCCACGTGGTGAAATTACATAAGAACAACTGGAGGAAAATCTAAATCTAACTTTGGGGACAGTATTTTTTGTTATGCTCCTGGATTCTGCTTATACAAGACGTAAACTTAAATCAAATTTGTATTTTCAATCAACAGTACTGTTCATCTTTTTTGTAGTCGAATACAGTAGTTTACAGTCTTCTTAGATGTTTGCGCTTTCAAAATGTACACACAGTGTTTACAAAATAAGACATTACAATTAATTGAGCATTTATTATACGCTGCAGTGCTGATCCCATTATCTTCCCAGGCTATAATTATTGAGATATGCACTTTTTGTCTCAGTGGTAAGCAGGCTATGAATTGCACAAATCCACATTTCAGTGCTTTATACTCAAAATGCCAAACGATAATTATTCAAGTGGAGCCAGAAGACCACAGAATCTCCTGCATGTATATTGTGGAGAACAGAAATGCCTTGTTTCACCTCCACATCCACATCAGCCAATTCCCCTGAGTCACAATAAAGCTGAAGATGACAAAATGTTCCATTCCAGCCCAGGACAGCACAAGGTCACCATTACAATGCAAAGCAGGCCCTTCCTGCCTTGAGTACAAACACTTTGGAGCTGCTCTCCAAGGAGACGAGGATAAGAGAGAGCCCAGTGCAACAATGACTGAAGTTAATCTTTTTGCATCCCGTCCAGCTATAACAGAAATGAAGGATTTGCACTTAGTGATCTCAGAGGACACCAAACTGAGGGAGATGGCCTTACAGTAGGATTTTACCACTATTCAAGTAGCAGCTTGTTTACGGTCAGAATTCTGAAACTACTTAACACTTATTTTGTTTTTACTTATCAAAGATCATTCTTTATTGTGTCGAAACTTTCTTTTCTAGACTTAGATAGGACGATTAGTACCATTCTCAGTATGAAGCTACGGCCAGCAGTCAGTTAGCTTAGCTTAGCAAAAAGCATGGAGACAGGGGAAAACAGCATACTGGATGAAATGATAACAACAGCTGCCTAACAGCACATCCAAAGCTCAGTAATTAACATGTTATATCTTGCTTGTTTCTCTAATCTGTGCATTATCCAAGTGTAAAACCGAGATGTGGAGGTTATGTGCTGGCCTTTTCCTTAGCCAGGAGACGGGGGGGATGATTGGTTAATCTAATGTATTGTCAAACAACTTCTTTAAAGACTCCAAATTCTTCACAAACTCTTTTTTTTCTTGGAATATATCAAGATTTATAAGGCTTCCACCACTTTTATTACTTTCACCTAATAAAAGGCTTTTATTTGGAGCAAAAGTCTAAGGCATTACAGATTTTTCCAACTTGACTGAAGGAATTAAAATATCAATGATAGCATAGAGAGAGGGAAAAAAATGAGGACTAATCTCTCCTAATAAAGAGTATGTGCATTGGCAGCATGGATAAAAAGGAGTCCAACACATGACAGAGAAGGTAGAGCAGAGGGTGAGCGACCATGGTAGGAGGCAGTGGGAGAAAGGTGAGGGTAGAAGGAGTCAGAGGTCACGACAGAGAGACATCAAAGATCAGATGGTTGGTCAACCTACCATTAATTAGGCTGGCACTGCCAGGGGCATTAATGCCTGCAGCCCCATCCGTGGCTATAGTTGCGATAGGGTGGATAGGGGGATGGGAGCAGTCTAGCCATGAGGGTCGAACATGAATGAACAAAACAAACACACACGCGCCCACACACACACACACGCACGCATATGCACACACAGGACAATGAACAGAAATAACATGGTTATAGCACATTTAATAGATTCAGCATGTGTAGACTGTGTGTGAAGGCTAAAATGTGTGCATCTATTTGTGTATGTAATTATTATTATATGTACCTAACTAACAAGCTTCAGGAAAATGTTAATAAACAAACACTGGACAAACATGAAACACGAAATCTGAACATAACATGGAAAACAATACAACAGAAGCCAGAGCTTCAAATAAAAAAAAAAAACTACTGTAAATTGGTTAAACAAGACACAAATCTGTTTAGATGTACTGTATAAAAGTCTGTATCAGTGGTGCTAATATTGTAGTTGACCTCTGTCATAATGTGCATTGATTGCATTTATTGTCATTTTTACCACTAATATTTTACAATGAGAAGTTAACTTCAACCATGTCATTTGTGTTGTAGCTTTTAGCATCACAAAATCATAAATTCAGCAAAAAATCTGAAACTAAGTAGCTAAAACAGTTGTTACATCACAATTTTTAAAATTAGTATCTAATGTAACAACAACAAATAATGTAAAAGAGCCCACAAGTAAGCTAGGGGTATGATGATTCTCAGAAATCCAGGTCATGGCATTTTCAAGAGTGATACACAGGAAACTGGATGTGCTTGAGGTTCTTTAAGACATTTCAATCCTCATCTGAAAATGTTCTAACTGGGGAGTCGCAGGTATTTCATTGTTTGGAAAGTTATTAACACCTAAGAACCTCAAGCAAGTACATTTACCTCCGTATCACACTTGGAAATTACTTCAAGAAATAGACATGTGCCGACCAGTGTATAACAAGTGTGGGCGTAACACATTTTTTTGAGAAGTTGTCCAAATATTTGTCAGTTTTGTCTCCGCCACTTTGTGGTTAAAATTCTTTATTTTTATTTTTCAAAACCTGTAATGGATCTTGATAGATTGTGTTTGTTCTTTTTAACTGTAATTAATAAAAAAAAAAATTCTGTTTTGTTTGGATTCTTCTTGGTCTCTTTGTTTTTTTTGGTTCATTGTTTCAGAGGTTTTATCACAATTCTATGATTCATTTATTTTCTCTAGCTATTGATTTCTTTAATAAAACGACCCAGCAGCAAGTTTTGTGCTATTTCTTATGTAAGCATTGTTGCATCAACAAATTTATCAGAATAATGCATTTATAAATAAGTTATATAATAAGAATAAATAGATTATATTGATATAGTCTGAATGTAAGTTTAAATCAGCTTTATGTAAAGTATTAAAGCAAATTTTATGGTACATTTTCTTGTTAGATATTACTGAAATGTGAAAATACATTGGTGAACGACATTTTAAGATACATTTATATAATGACAGTTTCCCTGGACCCAAGTTATGTATTACATCAATCTAATCGGACTGATTAAACCTGATACATTACCAACCTTACCACTGTGCTAGAGCCATAAATGTAATACCTGTGATTATGAAATCTTACAAAGTAACCATGAAATTCTTTTTATTTATTCTGATCCAGTATCAAATTAAAATGTTGCGTGAGGAAAATCGCTATTCAAAGCATCAAAACAAGCATGTAAACAGTCTGAGGGAGAGTAACAAGTTATGTTCGTTACTCCTGTGTCCCATATATGAAGTTTGAAAAATTGTCAAGCCGCATATTTTGCAAACTTCCCTGCTCATGTTATCACGTTTTCAGTGTGAGGCAGGAGTTTCTATGGACAGTACTAACGTTACATTATATCTCTGTAGACGTGCTGACTTAATGCGTATTGATCAATAGTTGTCCTGCAGTTGTCAGATGTGTCACTATTATAATGTTTGTCACTGTAATAATGTTGGTTGTCTGCTAATGACGAAGCGAGTGGTGTCCGAGCTCCTAGGGAAAGTGCTTCAATAAGGACAGGGCCTTATTGAAGCATTGCAATTACAGTAGAAATCATGACATGAGGAGACTCAGTGCAGTTTTTGTTTCTGTGAAGATTGGAGGAAGAAAGTTTTTTTCACATGTTTACTGTTACTTTGTGTAGTGACACAGTTCTGAAACACAACATACAGTATGATATCCATGCAAGCTATACAGCTGTCCAAAGAGGAACAGGTAACAGGGGCATCAAATCCCCACAGAAGTAAATGTACCTACTGTAAGATGCGTCTTAATGAAGCTTATACTTTCTACTTCACTCTGTACTGCTGGTACATGTGCTGTGCACCTGCAAGGCTGTCACTCTCATGTCGTTGTTCTGTTGTGCAGCAATAAAATGAGTCTGACAGCCTTTCTCTATTCATGGCATTCAACACGCCTATGAAACAGTTGAATGCTATACCTAGTTAGTTTGATGAAAGCAGAGCGTGTTGTAGCAGGAGAGGATTATGCATTGTGAAATGTGTCATCTGTCAGCACTTAAAAAGATGCAGTGTTGTGGTTATGATAAGGCTTCTCTTTTTAAGTGAGGAATTGAAAGTGAGGGAAAAGTTGCTTGGCTACAGGAACAGGAGTGAAGCCTCAAAGTGTTTTATTGGGGGGAAACAGCAGGGGGGTGAGATCTAAAGGATCAAGTATCTCTCACAGAGGTCAGAGCAAGGTGATACTCTACCTGTATTCCGGTGTCCGTCTTCCACTGCCCGATCTTCAAGGGGGAATTTGGAATGATAAAGAGAGGAAGGACAATGATGCACCTGATGCTGGACACTGTGGCTCACAACTTTACACTCATTTCATAGAGTATTTACACATGCAGCAAAGACTAGTGTGCACAGAGGCTCGTTATCAAGTACTGTACAATAAACTTCATAGAGTTGAAATGTGAGTTTAAGCAGGTGGAAATTGATTCATTGTTGTTCAGAACCTTAATGAAGCCTTAAAAATACTAACATGCATTGAGTGTACAAAGTTAGATTTTCTGCACATAAGATATTGTGTGACTGAAAAACTGTAACTGCAAATATTATAAGATGATAAATTAATGATATGATCATCTTACCTTTCTTTTCTTTCTTCTCTTCTTCTTCTGTGCTGGCCCCCAGCAGCGTGAAGATGATGCCAGTCTGAGAGTTGACACCGACGGCAGTCACCACCATGCGCCCTGACCCCTCCATCACATGAGTCCCTGGGAACAGGCGAGAGAATATTTAATAATCATACTAATAATATATTATATATAATATATAGAAATAACCTCTGTCTGCTTAAAAATAACATTCTCTGCACCTCCATCATGATTGTGAACTTTCTGTTAGTGAAAGCTGACCTCAGCAGTGAAGTCCATCCTGCTCTTACACTTGCATCTCCATTAAGAGACTAAAGAACAGCGCCATATTGAGAATGGAATAATTAAAATATTCATAGGTGTGTTTCTTGGGTCAGCGTGTTCAGGTTTAATCGTACATACATATTTGATTTAAAACTGAGGAACAGTGAAAAAGAACAAACATTATTAAACCCCAAAGTTGACGTCTTCATTTACTGTTTTATTCTAAATTTAACGTGTTGAGCGAGTTGAGCGCCGCAATCAGTTCAAAAAATTGTGTCAGTGTGGAAACACTTGCAGGCTACACAACATTGTGTATGTGAATATGTATAGTTCACACATAGAAAATGATTAACCTTTGCCAGAGTGAGTCGATGAGCGTGAATAAGAGACTAATTAAAAGAAGGCAGCAAAAACGCACACAGCTAATTATCCACAGGAAAAAACAAAGATGTGAGAAAAGATTAACCCACGTTTCTGTTACCAGTGATATCCTTTACTTCTAAGAATCATACAGCTGCAAATCTGGTGTCTCTGCTGCAGCAAATACTGAACCAATAAAAAGGGGAAAACTGGATTAAAAAACAGTGATCTCCATGCAGGCGGACGTTTCGTCTGAATTGATATTCAGATTATAATTAAAGACGTTTTGTCTTCTGTCTGAGGTACTGTCTGTTATTTGATTTGATTTATTTACAATAGTTCTTTAAAAGAAGGTACAAAAAACAAAATTCAATATTATAACTACTTTTCTGAGGCTGTCTGAAATGATTATAAACAACTTATTCTGAATCCTCTTACATTGTATCAGCAATGAATGGAAATAAATAACTTGTTATAAACTCAGAAAAGGGCGACTTTCACAAAGGAGATGACAATTTCATAGAGGAGGAAAAGTGAAGACAGTCAAAGTTGAGTCACCACCTCTGCCTTTTGTCCCTTTCTCCTAAACACAACGATATATTTTGAATGAGAACATGACAGTGACAGTGTACACTCATCTACATCAAGAGAGAGCATCTCCTGGCACCCTACCAGACAACAGCATGGGGTCCTTGTTCACAGTCTTCTTGACGTGGTCTGACTCTCCGGTCAGTGATGACTCATCAATCTTCAGGTCATTGCCCTGGATCAACACACCATCAGCTGGAAGCAGATCACCTGCAGCCACAGACACAGCAGAGTCACTATCTGCAGTGGATTTATTACATTTCTGGATTTAATAGAAGTTTTGAAAATGTTTTGAGAAAAAACAGCTATTCAAAATAAGAGACTGAACATGGGTTTGAGTTAACGTCATTCAGTAAAGATAACTGAGAGGATGTGTCTGTCAGTACATAGACAAGCACATAGCTTGAACACACAAAACAAACCAGTGTAATAGTTTTGGTGTGGTGTTACAGTGTTCAAGTGATGTTACCTCAATGAATACACCTTTTTAATGCTAAAATGTAGCTTTAATATTTTATTTATTCGGTGAACATAACATAAATCCCCTCAGCTGGAACCATGAAAATAAGTCAGTCAAAGTCAGAGGGCATGTCCAAATCTCTCTGAACAATTAATCTACAACAAGAAAACATTTGCTATTCGAGTTTACCTCCCTTACAGTATGAATGAAGTGAGTAAACTCTAACACATAAAACTTATTTGACAATCCCCTCATACCTACCGTATTTGATCTGTGCAATATCCCCCACCACTATGTCAGCCACGGGCAGCTGTATAACCTGGCTACCACGGACCACCTGGAACTTCTGCTCTTGCTCAATGCGGCTCTGCAGCCCACGGAACTGCTTCTCCTTCGACCAGTCATTGAAGGCGGTAACCAGCACCACACACACCACAGACAACAGGATGGCCGCACCCTCGATCCAGCCAGCTTCCGCCTCGCCTTCGTCCTCTGCCCCCCCTGCCGCTGCTCCACAGTCTGCAGTTTGGCAACAGGGACAGCAAGTAGAGAGGAAACATATATATATGTCATACATTTGCAAGAACAATGTGTTTTCATATATGCTCATAGAATGAGGTTTTTCAGTGCTTGCAAATGTCATACAGAAATATTTGTAAAGAACTACAATTAATAACAAAAGATACACAGAGATGTTATCAAAACTCCCACTTTGAGCTCCCACAAAGACTGTGACAAGTGTGTAGATGGGAGAAAAAAAAACATGTTTAATTTCTCAGAAAATACGCGAGGAGCGGAATATTAAAGGCAGGTCTGGAAATTGGGAAAAAATGGAATGAGCCTTTTTTGATGAACTTTTGAGGATGAAACAAGGCTTGTTCACAGTCCACTTCTTACTCCTTCTTGTCCTGGGAGCAATTGTGCTTTGCTCTGCTTTGGACAACGACAAATAACAACAAATTTGCAGCTCATAAGTGAACTAGTGCAGATCCCCATATTATAAACATTACATTTGCAGGGAGTAATGTAACCAACAATAGACTGTGGACGCAATTTGGACTCTACAGAGAGGCTCCAATCAATATGATACACAGCATGCAGTAACAAAAAGATGCTCCTCCTGTTAGACTACCAGTGCCATTGTATACACACTGTATGTACTAACGTATTCTAATACATTGGGGGTTTTAGCACTAAGAGAGTAATACACAAAGTAAATTATTTGATTCATCTAATTAAATATATTGAATATTGTTTTTATGGTATGTGTTTCTTTGTTTGTTCTTATTATTATTCCAAAGTTCATTGTCCACAGTTGATCTTTGTCAGGGACAATGGTTAATGTTGACACGTGTCAGGTTAGTTGTTAAAAATTCACGAAGTTGTCTACCTCCTTAAAGATTGTGCAACATTAATGACATGGCCGTGTTACGTAATATGGTATAATCTGTGCTATTTCAACATATCTAATATAAACGTAAAATATTTCCAGTTTTCATTTAGTATTTTTTTGTTGAATATAATGAATATTGTGTTTCAAGTTCAGTTATTGTTACAAAAACATGTTTTCATCATAGATTTGTAGAAATTTGATTTAGATTTCCAGAAATCACAAATTAAGTATTTTTAATCTTAACAGACAATTTCATAAGGAAATAAAGCTCTTGGCATGTAGTCAAATTATAATAAAATGGAATATTTAAGTCTGTATATAAGTATAGTTATTAAAAAGGTTTGAGGTTCAGCAAGTCCTGTTTGGCTACTGCAGCACAATAACATTAATAATATTATAGCATTATAAAATAACAGTATCATAGCAGTCTGTGGTTCTGATTGTCAGTGGTTTAATATTACAGACATGTAAATACAAGCATGTGCAAAAAACATAGAAGGACACTAAATCATGCAGCAAATGTGTAGCTGTCCATGGTGCTGAAGTGCCAGCAAGAGACAAAAGTCATGAGCTGGTTGCAGGTAAATCAATAAATAAACTTCCATAAACTGGGAATCAGGTGGGTCCAAGTTGTCATGTTCAACTGGTACAGCCGGAATCAGACATCAGACAGCGATATTATTGGCCAATATCAGTATAGAGTCAATATCTTAAAAAATATAACACATAAAAGTTTTTATGCTCCAATCTTTGGTGGTTTTTAATCAGTTCATTTATGATTATTCTTATTTTTAATGATTTTCTGTCAAATTCGGTTATAGCTCAAATAAAAATAAAGAGTAATAACATAACAATTCATAATTAAAAAAATTATATTACAAATTACTTGGGATATTGTTTCTAAGTTCTTCACTGTATGTGAAAACATCCTCTAACCCTTATGGCCTCATGTCCTTCTCTCCTCTGAAACACATACATCCATTTCGGTGCATATGCTGATGGTAATCGTTCATATCTTTCTGAATCGCTCTGTTGTTCACATCTATTCATATCCGCAGGAGTTTATGTGCTGATTTAGATTCATATGTATTCATGTATTTCAAATATAAGAGGAGATATTGCATATTAGCACCTTTTTTTGCCGGCAGTTAAATGGGGGCTTGATTATGGGTCTGTTGACGGACGCAGTTATTAGCATAATGATTCCTTTGGTACCGCTCTGCTTTTTTTGGATTTGTTGATGCAAAGAGCTCGATCGTAACTCAACCTGGCTCAGGAGACGCACAGGAAAATGGCAAAGTCCGGTGAAAACTACAAAATTAACTAATATAGAAACAATTTGATTGACTAACCTGGTCCTTCCGCCACCAGTGTTTAAACCTCTTAAAAATGATGACTGGCCTCTTTGTCAGTGAACTGAATTCCATTACTGTGATAATGTTGGGAGCAATGACTGATGTTGCTGACTCAGCACCTCATTATAGTCTCTGTCTTCATTTCCTGTTTCACAGCTCACAGGGCTGATGTATGGGCTCTGGGAACTCAAGGTTATTTTTCTACTCAACACTTCATTAACCTTACCGGTGCTTTTCATACACACATTTAACACATTCATAATATGCACACACATGCGCACAGACACACGTGTGTGCGCGCACACACACACACACACACACACACACACACACACACACACACAAATTAGCCCTATGCTTGATGAGTCACTTGACCTCTTGAGGCAGGTCACAAACAACGTGTGACCTGCCTCACCAATTAAAAAGTGTGTGCATACATAAAGGTGTAAGTGTGTCAGCAAGGGCCAGTAATGTCAGAGGAAGTGATGTCAGTGAGCCAATGCAATTATAGTCCTCTGCTGTTCTGTGCAATAGTGGCGATAGCAGAGATAACTGTGTGCGTGTGTGTCTCAAGACTTCTGAACAAGTGACAGAGAGAAAATGTTACTAGAAGTGATGTTAGAGGAGCTGCGTCACTCACACTCTCCGGAGCTGTCTCCGGGAGGGTGGTAGAAGGAAAGGCCCAGGGAGATCAGTGCAGCAACCTCCAGGATGATGAGGGTGACGTCCTGCAGGGCCTCCCATACCAGTTGCAGGAAGGTTTTTGGCTTCTTTGGAGGTATCAGGTTTTTCCCAAATATTTCTTTTCTCTTGTCCAGGTCGGGTTGGGAGCCTGTGAGGCCTGAGAGACGAAGATGCAGACAGAGGAAGAGGCGAGGTAAACATTATTAGATTGATATTGATAGTACAGTACACAACTGTATAATGAAGTATTGCAGTTGTTTTATATTGTGTATATTTATGGTTAACATTACAATAACAAACAGCTATCTGCTTTGTACATTTACTTGCACACACAAATAAAACGGCAGTAATTATTTTAATGTGAAAAGATCTTAGTACTCTCAAGCCATATATTTCTAGTTTTTACTTCTCTCTGCATTTCCCGTTCACTCTTTCTCAATCTTGCAGCATACACACACAAACCATCTCTAATTACCAGTTTGAGTCATGGTGGGCCACACCACATTCCTTATATAATTCTGCTCAAGAGATGAAGGCCTTCTGCTTCGACCTCCTCCACCTCCTCATACACCATGAACTGCTGCACATAAATATCTTTTGCTCTTTTATATGAAAAAAACGTCTCTATGGCTTGAGGCACAATTTACTTTTAGACTACTGTTCAGAAAATTATTCTTCTACTGTGGCTCAGATTATCTGACAAAAGCTCACGCAGTGCTCTCTGGGTAGAGATCGTCTGAACTTTGTAATATTTTTACCCAAAATGCCAATGAGGTCATGTTTTCACCTCCTTCTTTTTGATGGTTTACTTCCACTTCTGTCTTATCATGAAACCAGTTGGAAGGATGCAGTGAGTCAGGAAAGAACCAGTTAAATTTTGGTGTAGATCTGAATCAGGCGCAGATCCACGAATGTTTTATCCCTTTCTTTGTGAAAACATTTCAGATTTCCAAGGGACTAATTTATGCATCTTGATGACAAAAACAGGCATAACCTATTGTATGTAAGTGTGAGCAATTTGGTGCAGCTTTATTGAATTTAAGGGGACTATTGGGGCCTTGGTGGCTGTATACAATGCTATATGTTAAAATTGGTGTGTAATCTTATATAACCAACCTTAACATGAAGAAAATCTTGCCTTAACTATTGAAATCTTTATTAAAGAGTAAAACAATCATAAATGTTTATACATGAAATCACAATATGAATTTGCCTCAGTGTCGTATTACAAACGGCTGTGAACTGTAACTGATATCTACATCAAACCTTCACAAAACCACGGAGGTAGTAATTAGTGCGCTACCCACAATGCAAATTTCTGCTCTGTACCTTCAGTTGAAATTATTCCTAAAAGATTTCCACTCAGCTACATTACTGGTTTGTCTCTGACTGCTTTTCAGTGCAGATCTATTATCTGTTTGCCGTGAGCAGACACAAGAGCAGTGTGCATTCACCGTCTGACTCTGTGTCTCGCTCGCTCTCCTCACAACCACAGACATTACCACAGCATTATGTCATGCACAGTACGTCACTGGGTCTCCCAAGAGTGGCCCTGGATTGCACCTGATAACATCACGGCTGCGTGACACCGTTTCACACGTGAACACATACGACTGCGAGATGAACATTTGCAAAACATGAGCGATGATCCATTAGCATCTGACTCAGAAGAAAGATGAACAGACAAAGACGATGACAGAGCTGTTGTGGCACAATCAAATTTTAAATACTGCACAAAGAGAGAGCGATAAAAGAGGACACTGATTTGTTTGACTGAAGGAGGGAGACGGAGAGGACAGAAGGAGGGCAGGCTTGAAAAGAGAACAATTCTCAACTCCTACGTTGGAGAATGCCCTGGTTACAAATAGATCAGTCTATAAATAGCCTCATTATCTATTCTCTTTTAAATGTCTCTGTGAGAGGACCTAGCATGTTTCTCCACTGATCTCCACAGCACCCTGCCTTACATCACACACAAACATGTCTGTGTGTGTGTTAGTGCATGGGTCTGTGAGTCGTGACTGCCTGCACGTGCTGCTTGTGTATGTGTGTTTGCGATAAGGCTGGGCAAGCATGTCTGTGCCGGTTGCTTGCACTATCACACTGTAAAACTAGAGCTCATATCACCCGGCTTGGGCCAGTTCCATGTGGTTTAACACACACACACACACACACCACACACCACACACAACACACACACACACACACTCCAGAGACAGGTACTTATAGCACACAAATTCTGCACAAACAATCCTTCCACATTACAATACAGCTGCATAATGTGCTGCATAATAGGTACTTCTGTATAAGAGGGTGCATCATTTCAGGATGACATTTAACCTTGTTAAATGTTTGGAGTGTGTTCCCTTTAGATGGGCTGCTATGCTGTAATCAATCTCCCTGATCATTAAATACATATTGCTTCCTGAAAAATCCTTTGCTACATTAACATTCCTTCCTGGGTAGCTGATTGCATTGTTGCTACAGTAAAAATTAATTTGGCAGATTTTTTAAATATTCCAGGCTAAACACTGTCAGCCCACCTAACAGCTCTGACAGTGGGTTTTGAGCAGGAGGAAAAACTCTGGCGATACACAGATGAGTCACAACATTACATTCTCAGCTGATTGCAAATGAATCTCTTTGTGCAGTTCATATCCAGGTGCTGAAGCCTGAATGGATAATAACATACTGACACATACTAACTACCGTATACTAAATGTATATGATCAATCGATGGACATAGATATGAAACTTCTGGTACAATTAGTAATTTATGTTCGTAAATAACATTTATATCTCTTGTGGAGGATATATCTCCAACTTCAGTATAACTATGAGAAATGAGAGAGGAAATGATGAGATGATTAATAGAATTAAATTGTGATTCCTCTTTAGAATGTTGACCAGCTGATAGACTCAAAAGTTTAGATTCTATGAGCTGGTCAACAGAAGTTTAGAGTCTAAACAAACAGTGAGCATCGAGGTGACTGAGCAGATTCAGATTTAGTTTCAGAGTTTTGATCAAACTAACATGTCATCACTTAATTCCTCTGTATTTTCAGTTACTTTCCAGTGAGTTGCTGATTAGACATTATCTATTCTGAACCAATTTTTTTCCATACCTAATTGTGTTATTGCAATATCTAATTCCCATGAGAAAAATGCATGATTATGATTTGATATTATTAAAATTACTACACAATGAATGATCAGAATGGGGTTCTTTGTCTGGGCTCAGGGCAGTGAGGAGCTGCTTCTCTAATTAAAAGACAAAGCTCTGAAAGGGGCTTCTCAACATCATCTAAAAAACCCTACCAGTTAGTTTGGCACTGAGACAAAATTTATGTGATTTTAATAACATACTACACCATTAAAATTACAATGATGAGACTTACAATGATGATATAAAACAACAAAAGCCAGCAAATCCTTACACTGAGAAACTTTTCTTTAAAATTCAATCAAGTTTTGCGCTGATCTGTCAAATGCAGCAGGATCTGTGTGTCAAATCCACTTCCACAAACGGTACCTGCTTATCGTCCTGTTTACAACCGAAAAGAAGGAGAAAGAAAACTTAATGCCAATCAATTCTTCATGAGAGGAAGTGGGAATTTTTTTTCAGTCAGAGGGAACATGATGGCATATTTTAACAGTTGGCCTTTTTTTGTCAGTGGCTAAAAATAGATCTCCATGGAAACACTATGCATCCCACTCATTCATTGGAAATACCCGCGACTCTGAACCATGGAGAATGTATGAATAAGTAAGTGCTCCTGAGTGTGTGTATGTGTGCGTGTTCTGCGTTCAGGTGCATGCATGTATGTGTGCGCACAAGTATGTTGCAACAAAGAAAAGGCGTGTAAAGGACAGGAAGGTGTAATGACCTCCAAATGTCCTTGTGGAATAGACACATCATAGCAGACATGCAAACAACTAACACTTTTTTTTTTTTAAGTCCCTGCATGATGTGTTAAAGTCGTTATGTCCAACGCTCCTTGTCGAGTCTTAGCAGTGCATATTTTTTTCCCTGCGTTGCCTCCTGTTTTACGTTTTCCTGTCTGCCTCTATCAACTTTTCTCCCCCCACCCCTTCACAACACTGTGAGCCACATTGTCCAATACAAGTCACCATGGCAACAGGGTTGTATGATGATGATGATCATCATCATCATAACGACGCAAAAATATTGATGCTTTTTTTTTTTTCCTGCAGCGAATCAATAGCTTCAACATGTGTTCTCAGCTTTCACCATTTTAAAAAGAGACGGGGTGGATGGGGGTGGGGGGTGAGGAGAGAAGACAGAGAGGGTTGAAGTGTGACTCATGCAGCACAAGAGGGTGAGAAAAAGAGGGAGATAGGGACCGAAACATACAGCGAGAGCAGGCTGGATGTAGAGTAACAGCATGAATAATAACCCTTCAGCGGCTAAAAGGTGGATAATTATCATGCTCTTATTAGAAAATGGAGTGATGGAGAAATGTGTCATAGTGTCCTTGAGAATGACCTCTACAATAATGACACAATTTTATGCCACTGAGGAGGAGCGGTTTGTTACTGTGCGTGCAGAGGCTGAATATAGTAGAAATAACGGCAAAGGATGGCGATTAAAAGGATCAGTAAATGACATAGATGGGAGAAGGAAGCAGGGTGGAAAGGAAGATGGAAAGAGCGTTGAAAGGTGCACGAAAGACAAGAGACGGAAAGAAAATGCAAAAACAACCTCCATCGTGCTCTTATGTGGGACAAGGTTGAAGATATTACAGACATTATTATTGTGGTGGGAGCTCAGGTGATGATAGATGCTTTTACATGAGACTTATACTTGATTTCCTTATTTCAACTGCCTGTTCTTCCTTTACCTTTGTTCTTAGCTCTATATGTTAATACACTGATAGCTTCTGAGAAATCAGAGCCGAATTCCCTGTGTCCTTTACAATACTTGGAGTATCAATAGTTTTTAATACATTTTATATATAATAACTTCACAAATCTCTTTCTTGAGAACCATCTGCTTCACACTTGGCATTTTTTTCGTTCAGGGCTTAAGAAAGTGTAGTGTCGAAATATTTGCAATTTTGGACAGAAAAATACATTCAATATCAATAAACTTTGAATTAACCAGCATTCTGTTGCAGCAGCCATTGAAATTCACTG